CCTGGCGGCGCACGAGTGCTTCGCGCACAACGCGGGCTGCGGCCCCGTGCAGCTCAGGGCGCGGCATCGGGCGGCCCGCGGCACCGGCGGGGACGAAGCGCGGCGCTCACGGAGCCCGGCCGGGCCTCTGGCGCTGCGCAGCTCGTGCCCCGTCAGGCGCGGTGCCGGGGGCTTCGCGGGGAGCGAGGCAGGAACGGAGACCTCAGGAGAGCCCCGCTGAGCGCTGCTTTGTTCAGAGCGGTTCCGGAGGTCGGAGAAGAGCGGAGAGCTGCCTCTTTTTTTTTTTTTTTTTATCCCCTGCTCTATCTGGGCCAAATAAGCCCTAAGAGCTCCGCGGACATCCTGGGCAGGATGCAGCCCGGGAGATGCTCGCGCAGTGGAGAATTCCAGCGGTGTGGCACAAGGGGTGGCACGCAGCTCTGCTGAGAAAGGGCAGTGACCTCCGTGCTGGCTCCGTGGTGCTGCAGGCCCCGCTGCTCGGCCGTGGCAGTTACCTGAGCGCTGCCCCACAAATGTGGGGCGAGAGATGGAGGAGCTCGGATATAGCTGCTCCAACAGCGGCTCCGGCCTTGGCAAATAGCCGGTTTCAAAGAGCGGCTGCCTCCTGCTTCTCTGAGCTGAGCGGTTCTGCAGCAGAGAGAAATAAGGGAGTTCGCCAAGAGGTGGCACTGCACAGGCTGAAATGGGGAAACAACATGGAGACCTGAGAGAGGGTCGGAGGCAGCGCGTCCTGCCCAGAGGCATCCGGATGGCTGCAGGAAGCTTCTGGCCAGGAGTGACGACCCGGCAACAGAGAGCGCGGTGCTGCCTGCGAGAGCTGGGTGACTGCAAAGAGATGAAGGGGATTAATGCACAAAAAGGCCAAGCAAGAGTAGTCCTACAAAGAAACACACAGCCAGCTTCTCCCGTGGAAAGCGTGCACGGTGAGAGCCCTGGACCAAGCATGCAGAGCCCTAGGTAGGATCCCAGAAGCTAAGCAGCAAACGAGTCATAAGGCAGTCTTCTAAAAATCAGAAGTGACTCAGAAAAAATCACTAGTAGGGATTGGTTTCTGGTTTTTGACAGAACTAGCCTTCTCCTATTGCATGTACCTGCGTGCTCAACATCTTCTGACATTTGTGCTTTGTTTTTGTGTGTTTCAGGGATCACTCTCAGAAAAGTACAGCATTTTTTAGCCTTCTGGAACGCACAGAAGTTCATCCCAGGCAGCGACGCTCCCTTTCTGGCTCCAGCACAGAGCTGGCAGGATGGTGTGGGTCCTTGGGCTCTTTCATGCTAGTGATGCTGGAAGCTGATTTACATGTAACAGTGCAACACTGATCTCGGGCATAATAATAGAAAAGCTGATGTGGGATTCAGCTGGTAAAGAATTAAAGGATGGGAATATAATTAATGCAATCAGCTTGGCTTCTGGAAAATAGCTCTTGTCAAACTCTGATGTCATCCTTTGAGGAGATTACAAGTTTGGCTGATAAAGGTTATGGCATAGAAATAACAGACCTGGACTCTGTTCAGGCATGTGACTTAATCCATACAGTATTCTGATTAAAAATTAGCACAATACAGCATCAAGAGGGACACCTTAAAGGGACTGGGAGCTGGCAAACCGACAGGCATCAATGGGGAATCCTTGCAGAATGGGAGCACGCTCAGTGGGTGTCCACAGGGTTTGATGTGAAGCCCAGTGCTATTCAGCATTTTCATCAATGGTCTAGAAATAGATTAAAAAGCCCTGCTGAGAAAAATGCAAGGGCTGTGGAAATGAGGGGGGCAGGAGACACAGACGAGGTCAAGACAGCTGCAGAAAACTTTATAAGCTGAATCCAGGCAAATAAAATGCGGTTGGATGTGAGCAGCTGCAAAGTGACACCTCCAAGGAGCAGAGAATACATACAGAGTGCTGCATCTCACGGCAACCTGCATCCTGCAAAGGATTGACTGGAAAGGAGCTTAGCTTGGGAGGAAGGAAAGCAGAGCAGGAGCAGCAGGGCCCTGGGAGTGCCATCTGGGAGCTGCAGCAAAGGGGTCGGGCCCTTGGCTGTGGGAACGGGGCAATGGAAGTAGCTGAGTGTTGTAGGTATGTAGCATGGCAAGCAAAGGCAGACACGTGCAGGATACCTGAGTGCAGCATCCACGTTTGGAAAAGGATGGTGAAAACTTACAAGAGTCAAAGCTGACGCCAGCTCTAGAGAAATTGCTTTGCCTGAGAAATGCAGCCTCCTCAGCTAGTTCAAAGGAGCCTGAGGGATGCCCTGATTATAGTGCTTAAGCAGCTTCATGGGTGAGAGACTATCAGGTATTAGAGAGCTTTTCATCTCTCATAGAAAGGCCCAGAAAGAATTTGTGGCCCGAACGGAGTTAACATGAGAAACTGAAGCCACATCCCTCTGTGACATTGTTAGAAGAGATTCCCAGAGGCAAGGAGTGGGGAGAAGGGCTGGGATAACAGTTTGGGGTTCAGTGGGATGCGCAGAGCTGAAGTGCATGGTTCATGCGTGTGCCAGGCCAGCACCCTCCTACCTGCAGCTCCTGCAGCAATGCCAGCCCTGCTAAGGACAGCCCAGCCACGGATGGCTCTGGCTCCTGAGGCTGCCCCAGGCACCGGCAGAAGCCACAGGAGCTTTCAATTGCAGCTTGGAGAACAGGGGCCAGCCGGGGCCTTGGGGACTGTGGCTGTGTGGCAGTTTGTCCAGCTTATAGCTGGGGAGGAGTGGCTCTCCCACTTGCTACCAAATGTTTAGCCATGGGCTCCTTTTCAGAAGTTGTACCCTGCTTCAGCACAAGCACGCAGTCTCCAATACAGACAGCAAACATTCTCCTCCCCCATGTTTTCCTCAAATGCTCTCTTCCACTGCACCTAGATTCTTGCTACAGCCTTTGCAGCTGCTGTGCCTTTGGGAGAAAGTCTGCATGCTGCTGTCTGCGTGCACTACAGCATGATGATGAAGGCTTGATGGCACTCCAGCAGCCCAACAGGCAGAGAATTCCTCTCACTACAGGAACCCTGCTCCCTGTTACCAAGGGCAGACAGCAGGCAGTGCCTCTCACTGCTGGTCACAGTGCTGTGGTCATGCTATGGTGCAATCACAGCAAAGTCCTAACCTGGTTTCTTTCCTTATATCCTCCTCCCCAGGTCTCCTGGCTCGGCGGAGCTGTCTGGCTGTGCTGGCATTGTGCAGAGGGCTCATCACAGGGAGACTGCTGAGGGAAGGGTCTGCAGCCAGTCAAGGTGTTGCTTTTCTGAGAAATTCAGGAAGGAAATCTCTGCCCCCAGCTATTCATTGCTTCTCATCCACAGCAGGATCAGATCCTCAGTCTACCTACAAGGCAGGTAAGATGTAGCCAGGCAGCCACCTCTCTTGCAAGCTGTAGAGGTGAATACCCTCCGGGCTCATGCCAAGCTCTCCCTCTTTCATTTCCTGCTTCTCAGAATAGTGAGAGCCATGGGCTCCCTCTGGAGTCACCTTGCTGCTTTTCACACATTGCTTCGCCCACGCGAAGGAGCCCAGTCCCTAAGTTTTGCCTAAAGCCAACATTACCAACTTCAGATTCGCTTGTGGATATCAAATGAGCGAAAATCCAAACCGAGCGTCCCTGGCTACACAAGGGAGGAATCAGAGTGCAGGATCTTCCAGAGCTTCCTTTGCTTCCCCTGTGTCTGAAAGGTAAAGGCCAACGAACCCAGGCAGATCATTTTCCCCTTCAGTCAGTTTTATAGCATTGCTCCTGCCTTATATTTCCAAAAAGTTACACCAGCTGAGGGGCTGCCCGTGTTCTGGTGTGTTGCTCAGCCTGAACAGA